GGGGGGAACCCCCCTTAAAAAAAAAAAAAAAAAAAAAAAAAAAAAAAAAGGATTGATATAATTACTGTGAGTTCTTAGAAAATCAATTAGAAAAGGTGTACCCAGTATTTTTACTAATGAACACAACTAACCCCAATTATATGAGAACATAATATATCCACTCTCATTAAGAATGAAATAATAGAAACTTCCCAAATTTCACACCAAAGCCTTAAATATACACATCCTTTTACTTAGTAACTGTGCTTCTAAGAACCATCCAATAGAGATGCATCCATAGGTAAGAAGCCATATTTCATTTACTGTGTTTATTACAGGATAATATATGAAAATGCTTTTAGAGCATAAGTAACTGATAGTGGCTAGTTAGGGAAGGATGGGAAAAAATTTAAAAAATCACACAATGTCAAAGTGTGGCCTTTAAAACAATTTACTCTTTAGTAAAAAGTCTTTGCAAATGGCTTTTTTTCCTAAATACAAGTAAGTTATTCCCCATAAAAGATATAAAACCATGATAGCTTTGCTTTCATCTTGCTTTTTAAATCTATAAACACAACTTGGAAGGCTTGCATGTTACTGTCTTGAGACTGTATTCATTAAAATAAGCTATTGAAGCAACAAACTCTAAAACCATAAGTAAAGCCAGGGAAGCAGAAACAGGCTGGTAGGAAAGGAAAGGGGTTTATTCGAGGGATGGAGAACTATTTTCTCTAAACAGAAACACTCCCTTTGCAGGGAGGCGAAAGGCTAGTGAGTCACCTCCCTAACACTGCTCCTCATGGAGCTGCTTGCAGGTTTGTATAGTGCGATCCACTGATGCAACTTCTTTGAGTCATCATCACCTGTGCTAGGACAGGCTTTGCGGTTATTGTGCCATCTTTATTTCTGTATGTAACCCCAGAGCCATTCTTTACTAACCATTTTCTAATTGGATTTAAATCCCATTCCACAACATGAAACCCATACCTGTCATCATTATCAGGCTAAGAACCAATAGCTAAACAGGACACAGGTCCTAGGGAAGACCTTACTACTATTATTTTGCTAAACAGACAGTGTTCAATTGATTCCCAATGATTTTTGTACTATATTATGATTAACACAGAGTCCCACAACTAGTCAAGGTATAGAAAATAAGAGACTGTAGAATGCTCAGTCCTGAACAGAATACATACACAGCGCCCTCCTCTCAAAGCTCAGGGATCACTGAGGCAGAGGGGGAAGGAAAGAACCTAAGTGCCAGAGGAAGTGGATGACAGTAAGGAGTCAGGATCCTCTGGGCACAGTGGGGCAGCTGCACATATTAACTCACTACATTTGTGACAGCATGCACAAGACCTGTACAAGCCCAGACCAGACCAAATCCCAGCATGGAGGGGGAGTTGGGTATGGAACCTTGCCCCAGTCATAGAGCTATGAGCAAATGTTAGGGGCTGAGAGGGAGAGTCAGTTTCCTCTAGAATATAACATCTGGTGAGTCAGGCATGCTCCAGTGGAAGACCACACTTTTGGGGATAGCTGGGCAGCACCAATTGGTCTTGATGGGAGAAAACAGAAAACAAGCTGAGGTGGATAGGAAAGAGAGGGTTGACCTGGGATGAGTTCAGGGAGAGAGTGAATATGATCCGAGCACAAAACACATTGCACAAAATTCTCAAAAAAAAAAAAAACTAGTAAAAGTAAGAAAAGAAAAATAAAAGCTAAAATTTCTAGATTAAAAACAGAGGGAATACTCTTCAAGATGCCAAGGTGGGCAAGAACTTTCTGGACAGAACTTCAATAACACAAAAGCTAGCTCCAAAAATCATGAAAGTAAGGTTTCTGTACAGTGGAGGAAATGGTCAGCACAGGCAGCCCACAGAGTGGGAGAAAATCTTTACCACATACACTTCAGACTAGTGGCAGATAACCAGAATTTACAAACGACTGTAGAAATTAGATACCTAGGAAATAAAACTGCAAACCAATAGGGTAATGCTGTGATGAATTACAGCAAGAGAGAGGGGGGGGGAAGGAGGAGGGGGAGGGGGAGGGAGAGAGAGAGGAAAGGAAGGAAGGAAGGAGGGTGGAAGGAAGGAAGGAAGGAAGGGTGGGAGGGAGGGAAGAAACCCAAATAGCCCATGACCATTAAAAAAATGATCAACATCCCCAGTCATCAGGTAAATGCTCTGAGATAACATCCCACCTGAGTCGGAGTGGCTGTCATCATGAAACTTGACAATAAATACCAGAGAGGATGAGGAGAGAGAAGAACCCTTATTCACCACTGGCAGGAGCTTAGCGGTTCCTCAGAAAACTGGAAACAGCACTACCATATGATACAGCTACCGTACTCCTTGGCCTATACACAGAGAACTCTTTATCCTGTGGTAGAGATGTTTGCATCCCAAGTTCACTGCTGCTCTATTTAATACAGCAAGGAAATGGAGGCAACTTAGGTACCTTTCAAGAAGTGAATGGATAATAAAAATATGGTACATATATGTATATGTATATGCATACACACACATATGAATATTACTCAGCTCTAAAGAAAAACAAAATCACAAAACTTGCAAGAAGATGGATGGACTTATAATATTAACCAAGTTCACCCAATCACAGGAAGAAAAACAAACACATGTTCTCCCCATATGTGGATTGTAGTCCATAATGTGTAAAACATATACATAAAAACAAACATACATGTAAGTGTAACATTTAGAAAGGGGAACAAGAATAATAAAGAAAATGCTTACTAATGAGTTCACATATATATTATACACAAGTAAGTTCTCTGAATGCTCTCTGGAGGCATAGCATATTTTCAGTGTAAAACACATCCTTCAGTGGGCAGTGGCCACTTTGTGATTCCATGACAGGCTGTTACCTGACTGTGAGATATGAGTTTTAAATTATGTTTTATTGTTTAAATATTCCTGTAGGATGAAGTGCTTTGTAAATACTACTAAACTTAGTGTATTTTATTCTTTAAGTATGAATTTTAGCTATCCAATTAACAGAGTGAAGTAAGAGGTGTAAAGTCATAGTAATTGTGAAGTTCCTGAGAATTCCTGAGATTAATTTATTGCCTCTGAATCTCAAAGAGCAACACACCAGGAATTTGAAAACCCTGAGAAACTTGTGCAGCCACTGTGAAAATCAGTATGGAAATCCCAAAAAACCTGAAAATAAAACCACCCTATCACCCATCCACAGTACTAAGTCAACACACCAGAGATATTTGTGCTTCCATGTTTAGAGCTGTACTATTCACAATAACCAGAAAACGGAAGCAGCCCTTGATGGCCAGCAACAAATGAGTTATTAAAGAAAATGTGGTACATAGGCTGGATGACCAGAGACCTAGGATAGAACCAAACACTACTGGAGTAGGAAAATGTCAGTGTAATGATGTCTGATATTCTGCCTAGCCCAATAGTGATCAGAGAGGCTTTACCCAGCAACTGACGGAAACAAACACAGACCCACTGCCAAACGTTAGATAGAGCTTGGGAAATCCTGTAGAAAGGGGGACAAAGGACTGTAGGAGCCAGAAGGGTCAAGAACACCACAGAAAACTCACAGAATCAACTAACCTAGGCTCACAGGGGCTCACAGAGACTGAACTGACAATCAGGGAGCCTGCATGGGACTGACCTAGGCACTTGGCATAAATGTTACAGTTGTTTAACTTGGTCCTCGAGTAGGACTCCTAACAGTGGGAACTGGGGCTGTCTCTGACTCTTTTACTAGTTTTTGGGACCCTTCTCATACTGGGTCTCCTTGCCTAGCCTTAAAATGGGAAGTGCTTACTTAGTCTTACTGCATCTTGATATGCCATGTTTTGTTGATACTCAGTGGAGACCTGCTTTTTCCTAAACAGAAATGGAGGAATGGGTTAGAGGGTAGGAGCATAGGACGGTGGGGGAGGGACTGGGAGGAGAGGAGGGAGAGGAAACTGTGATGCAAAACAGTTTGTAAAACAAATAAATTTAAAAAAGAAAATACCAGCCTAAAAGCCTATTTGGCTGTTTAAAAAAAAAGAAAATGTGGTACATATATATTTCCACAAGGGGGTTTTACATAAAGAAAAACAAAAGCATGACATTTTCAGAAAATAGATGCAAATGGAATTACGTTATGTGAAATAACAGACTCAGAGACAAATATCACTATTTCTCATACAAGGAACTTGAATTTTAGATTATATACATATGTATATAGCTATATCTATGTATCAGGACACTTAACTAGAGAAGGAATCATGAGAGGGGAAAAAGAGATCTTAAGGGATGTGGGAAATAAGAAGACAACAGAAGACATGTGATTAGAGGGTACAAAGGAGGACTAACTGGAGGAAGATCAGGAGCTAGCTGGAGGAAGAGGCAGAGAGGAGGACAGTGGGGGAGGAACATACAACAACAAATATGACACATACATATCAAGATGCCACAACGAAACCTCTTGTTCTGTGGGCTGACCTAAATCATAACTCTAAAAACAGCCACCATTTAAAAGCTGAAATGGTGTCTGGTATGTGGAGTTAACATGCTGTGATCAGGAGGGAATGGAAGCATCATTTATTTACATACATAAAACATAAACACTTACTTGATTCCACTGTCATCTGAAGCAGACTATCGATGGCGTTGGATAAGAGCCCTTTACTGGATATCCTCAGGTGTTTTAGTATTACTGGAACAGCTTGGTACTCCAAAAATAAGGTTTTTCCTTCATCTGTCTTCAAGTCCAAACAAAGGGAATCAAACGCTTGAGCTAGGTAGTCAGCTGAAAGCAACACAAACAACCGCCTATGCATCCGTCATTAAATCAGAAACATAAGGTTAAACAAAAAAAGCCACTGTTTTAATAAAGCAAAAGATGTAAAAATAATCAAATGACAAGCGATCACAAATTAAATTTAGATCTATCTTGCTCAAAGATTTATTAGAACTCAATGGGGAAAGAGAGAAATAAAAAAAATCATGCAGTCCAATTACAATGGGGTAAATTCATTTAGCACATTCATATTTCATTACTAAGATAATCAAGCCCCATGTTGTTTTTCATACTAAGAAAGAAAATGAATGGTTGATATTAACTAGCACAGTAGTATATATATTTCCATATTTGGTTGTAATTACTACATGTTTCCACAAACTTAGACAGCATCATATGTATCTTTAAAATAGCTTCTAAGATCATATGTCACATTGCTGACTTCTAAATGCCTACCCATTTAAAATTGTAACTATACACAGACCTGCTCAGTGACTTTTAAACAAGGGTTTCTGCCTCCTACTAAAGAGCAAATATCACGTTATTCAGAGACAACTTCAAAAATACCAGGCTATGCTCAGGTCTACTATATTCTGTAATCCACTCATTATTATGAACAACAGCAAGATTTCACCAAGACCAGCACCGGAAATGGCACTTTGAGACAAGAGTCCTTAAACTCCCCTTTTTAAAATATCCCACATGTGACTGATGAGCCACTAAATCAAGGGAACTAATTTAATTAGAACCAATGTAAATAAAAATATCAGAGATTTGTATCATTACATTTGGGTCATTACATCGATTTAGTAGATACCCCCATTATGACATTTAACGTTTTACACTGCTTTTAAATGTGTAAAGTTCAGTAAGTGATTCCAAGAAATAAAAAAACAAAAACATGCTGTTCTCATAAAAAGAGTTACCTCTTTTTAAAATTTAATATTTCCATTTAAAGGAAACTAAATTTTTCATTTAATTTAACTAACAGTGTGTCTTGGGCCCTGTGTGGTGGCACAAGCTTTTCATAAAGCACACAGAGGCAGGTAGATCACTGAGCTCCAGGCCAGCCAGAGCTACATAGAAAGACCCTGTCTTTAAAAAAAAAAAAAAAAGTGTGTGGGGGGGTCTTGGCCTCAAAGTGCTGTTACTAAATGGAATTCCCAGTGGTGCCAGGTGTGAGACACCTCCCTGTGAGCTGTTGATTGGAGGAGAGAAGGGGCCACCCTCAGAACTAGATGACCTGTGGCTGAAAACATCACACACTTTTGTTCGAACATGGAGAACATGGAGAACTCAGGTGGGCCTTAAGCTACTTCCTTTCTGGCTTCTCAGTACTGGAAGGCGCCACTAAGGCTACTGGAGGAAAAACGTCAGTGTAACAGTGTAACATGCAGCTGTGAAACTTACAAGCTACAAAACCATCTCCCAGGCTAGCTGTGCCCTCTGGCAATAGAGGCATGACTGCTCCGCTCTTGGCAAATACCTAAGTTCAGTTCTCAGCTCCATGGTGGGTGGTTCACAACCCCCTGCAACTCCAGCTCCAGGGGATCCGACACCTCTGGCTCTCTCATCTACACACCCTCACACAGACACATATACAAAATTCAAAATAATAAAAGTAGCTGGGCAGTGGTGGTGCACGCCTTTAATTCCATCACTCAGGAGACAGAGGCAGGTGGGTCTCTGAGTTTGAGGCCAACCTGGTCTACAGAGTGACTTCCAGGACAGGACAGACAGAGAAACCCTATCCCCAAAAAACCAAATAATAGTAATAGTGATAATATTAATGATAATGATGATAATAATAATAAATCTTTAAAATATATATGAAAGAACTTTGAGAAATTCTAATCTGTATCCACTTATGGCATATTATTTTTAATTCTAGATTATTTTAGTTCAAAGAATACTAATGCCACTTTGCTTAATTTTCTTACTTAAAAACAACAACAACAACAGCAATAAAAACCTCTGCCAACAAGTGCATAAGCAAAGTTTACTGGCTCTCAATTGTGCATGTGTTTGTCTGTTGATGTGTGTGTGTGGAGGACAGACACTTACGTTAGGTGTCTTTCTTTCCTTATTTTTGAAATAAAAATATAATTACATCATTTTCCCTTTCTCCTCCCACCCCTATAGTGATATAGTATTTATGACTTATTAAAGCTTGACTGAGGATTCAGAAAAGCAAAGTCAGCCACAAGCCTTAGAAGCCAGGCACACACCTTTAATCGCAGCAGCCAGAAGCTAGGAGGTGGTGGTACACACCTTTAATCCTAGGACTCAGGATTAAGGGATAGATGGTTCTCTATGAGTCCAAGGCCACTCAGATCTACACAAGAGTGAATCAGTCGAAAAAAGAATTATAGCTCACACTTTTAATCCCAACATTAGGAAAGTATATGAGACAGAAGCAAGGGCTCAGAGAGGCATTTGTTCTCCAGCCACACTGAGGAGAGGTTACACTTGGAGGCTTGGTGAGTGCTCTTGAGGACAGAAACAGCCCATTCAGCCTGAGGTAGCAATAAGAGCTATTGGCCAGCTACTTTGCTCTTCTGATATTCAGCTTGAAGCTTGAACTGCAATATCAGTCTCTGGTCATTTATTTATTCGTGCATACTAGGCTGGCAGTGAGCCAAGCCCTCAGTGCTGGGGTTAGAGATGTATACCATTGTTCTTGGCTTTCATATGAATGTTAGAGACCTAAACTTGGGTCCTTATGCTTGGCCCAGCAGACACTTTAGCCACCAAGTCATCTCTCTGGCCCAAACTTTAAAACAAAACAAAACAAAACAATACAATACAATACATACAAAATAGACAAATCCTGACCTCTTCACTGGAACAAGTTTTACAACAGTGCCCCCTACTGTATTTGAAATCACTTGCAACAGCTGACATGATTAAATGCATTGACTGACACAGGGCTGTTGGCTAAGAAAGGGTCTTACTAGGGGTGGTAGGGGAGGGAGGGAAGGGAACTGGGATCGTCATGTGATTCAATCTTGTTTGTAATTCAAATATATAAAAAATAAAAAACTAAAACAAAAAGAAAGAAAGAGTCTTACTATATAGCTCTGCCTGGTCTGGAACATCATGTGTAGGTCAAGCTGGACTTATCTGCCTTAGTTCTCTTCCCTTGGCTTCCCGAATGATAATTACACGTGTTCATCACTGCATCCTGTGTCATGGTACTTTTTAAAAAATTTTTAATTTATAAGCTTAAAAGGTTGTCCTCTCCCCGTCCTGTCTCTCTCTAATCTTACTGGTCTTTTGCTTGTATATTATGCTTTCCTATTTTGTATTTTTATGGATTTTGTGTGTGTGTGTGTGTGTTTATGTTTCTTGTGCTTTTTCTTTTCTTTTCTAATTCTGGTTGGTTTTGTCTGTTTTATACAAAGAGAAACAAGACATAGAGTTGGATGAGTAGGGAGAGGACAGGATCCTGGAGGAGGCGGAGGAGGAAAAACCATGATCAGAATATAGTATATAAAAGTGAGGCAAAGAGTTGCCCCTTAACAGTTTTCACAGGTAGAAAAATAGCATTTTGTTATCTTTTCTAAAGTGATTTGATCTTTTAAAGAAACATTTATTTTACTTGTAATTATACATGTGTATATGGGAAGTGGAGGGACTATGCAGTCAAAGGCAAGAAAATGTCTGTGAGTTCCAGGCTAGCCTGATCTACATAGCAAGTTCTAGTCTACCTAGGACTACATAATGAGACCCCCATCTCAAAAATAAAACAAAACAAAAATATTATATGAAGCCATATTTTCATTAAATAAGACTAGCAAATATTGAAAAATCAGAAATCAGTAACCCCAAATGCTGGTATGGATGGTTCGAGAAATGGCAGCTCACACACAAACAAACACACACACAAACACACACACAAAGACAAACACTTGTACACATAACCACCACCACATATATTCATACATACATATACACCTCACACACATACAAACACACAGAGACACACATACATACACATGGTCATGCATGTCACACACACACACACACACACACAGAGAGAGAGAGAGAGAGAGAGAGAGAGAGAGAGAGAGAGAGAGAGAGCTGAAAGGATATAATAGCCTCACTCTCTTGAGAAAGACAGCAATGTCTGCTAAAATTAGAATGACATACCCTTTCAGATATCCTCGTAATAAAATAACTTTATGGCTGGAGGTCACCGCAACAGAACTGTATTAACGGGATTGCAGCCCTACTGCATTAGATGATATTATGATATTTGTTGACATATGACTTTGAATATTCTCCTTGATTAATAGAATGGCTTTGAGTTCCTAATTCTGACTTTACTTACCTCTGGTGAATATACATGTTTTTAAAGTGAGGTTATGGACTGCCTGTGAAAACAGTGTGTGTGTGTGTGTGTGTGTGTGTGTGTGTGTGTGTGTGTACAGAAAAGTTTCTAAGATAGGTCTATGGTAAATTTTATTTTGGGCTAATAATGCCTTTTCAAGAGAGATCCTTCAAAGTTATCACCTAATCTATTATTACAAATTTAAGAATCATAACCATAAAACAACCAAATAATAAGTTAGAATTAGAATTCTGGTTTCAAGCCATCAACAATGACTAAGCAGAAGACTCCGAAGAGGAAGTAGTCAGACTGCTGTCACACCCAATAGGAAGACCCTCTACTCTGAATGAGACAAGTCAATATATTGGGAAGAGAAAGAAAGATGGTATGTTTACTAGCATTACTCCCTTTTACAAAAAATTCTCTTTTAAAACAATACAGAAAGAGATAACTAGTTATAGCTATATTAAAAATATGTATTAACTATGTTCACTCTGGCTGAGTGCTGCTTTTGACCACTTACTGCCTTACTTACTCTGTACACCAAGCACTGAGTGGGGCAGACACTGGTAAGTCTCCCAAAGTAATCTCCCAGGCTGTGAAGGGCTGCTCCTGTGTACAGGTCAGCAGCAGAGTTGCCAACTAATCACCCGTGTTCCAGGGCAGAAACGGTTGCAATGAGCCATACAAAAGAGTAGGGCTATGGAAGAAACTTTACAAATCAGATGGTGGCCTAATATGCTCCTACAGGCTGTAGTTTCTTGTTCTCCTCGCTAGTGAAAACAATACAATTTTAACTTATGTGACAAACTACTAAGGCAGCAAAGGTCACATAAAAATGTTATCTGAGAAAATCAACAAAAGCAGGGCATGATGGAGCACGCCTTTAATGCCAGCACTCAAGAAGCAGAGGCAGGATTAGCTCTGTGAGTTCGAGGCCAGCATGGTCTATATAGTAATTTTCAGTACAGCCACAGCTAACTAGAGAGACCCTCTCTCAATACAACAACAACAAAACAAGTCTCAAGAGTTTATTTTCTTAAATACAGCAACTGTTTTCAAAATGTACCACTGTTAAAAAAATAACTCAAAACTTCATTGTGGAAAGGTTGAACAAGTATGGCTAACTATAAAAGAAATGCTTTAATTTTTTATTTTTTATTTTATTTTTATTATTTTTATTATTATTATTTTTTGGTTTTTCAAGACAGGGTTTCTCTGTGGCTTTGGAGGCTGTCCTGGAACTAGCTCTTGTAGA